TATTTTATATTTGTATGTATTTTGTATAGTAAATAAATTCCTGGAGGGTAGGAAAAAAATTAGTATTATTAATTATAATATTTTAAGTATATTTTTTTCTATAAAACATGGTTATGTTTTACCATTAGGGGGGGGGGGCTTTAGTCCGAAAGCCTCCTGTGACCCATCACAAACAAGAAAGTGGAGGACGTCAATTCATAACCACAGAATTTTCGGATTTGTTTGGAGGAGGCAATGAACAAAAAAAAAAAAAAAAAATGTAAGAGTTTAAAATTCAACATAAATTTAATATTAAATATTTAAAAATAAATTTATTTATATGCTTGGATAGTTTGGTTTTTATTTAATTTATTACGTAAATGAATATTCTTTAAAATATCGTAACAAAACAATTGGATATATTACAGATTTGAATAAATTAAACATGGAGGGAGACAGCCTCCAGAACATTGGTATATTTCTAGAACATTTTCAGCTAAAAATGAATAATCTGAAAAATATTTTTGATTTATTAGTATGTACAACCTCAAAATAAAAATACAATGTTTTCATTGTTTTTAGTTACGTAAATATGTCTATAAAAAACTTTCTCTATAAAATTTATTTATGCTTATATACTTATTAATTTTTTTTAAACTTTACCGAGGAAAATATGATGAGAATATCACCTAAGAATCGAGAGCTGATTGATTGATAAAATCAATATGTTGCTATATATTATTATCTTTGAATATAAATGACAATTTAAATAACAGTAGCACTGAAGTCATGATATAATAGTTACATACCTATTTCTAGGTCCTAGCCTAACCAGCTATTTCTTATTTTCTTGATTGATTTTATTAGTTTAAATATTTTATTCATTCACGTAGCTTATTTATTTATTTATAACAATGGAGGGTTCCTCAACCTCTTACGGGTCATTTTAGCCCTTACACAGTATTTATATTACAATAAATTAGATGAAATTTAACTATAAATTGGAAAGTGCAAAGTATTTAAAACATTCAAAAAAGTGTAAGTAAAAATTAAATTTTGCTATATAGCTGTGTTATTTCTAGAAATAAAAACAATTGTTTTGCCATTTTGGTGGCGTTTTTCAAAATTTCAGCAATATTATTCTCCAATTCCACTTCCGTTTCCATTCCGTTGTGCTTCATAAGCATAACATTCAGTCAAAATGTGCCTGACTGTTAAATTGACCCCGTTGCAGAGACATTGAGGGAGTGTGTCCTTTGTCATTAGGTACTCATGAGTTAGCCATGAGTGTTCGATTCGGAGCCTTGTCAGGATTATTTCTTCTCTTCTGTTCAACTGGAGGTCCACTCGACTTAATTTTTGTGTGAACTGAAGTTTTTAAAATTTCTTAAAATATCTGAAAGAAGGAATAGAAGAATTATACATATGGGCATTGATTAATCTCAAGTGCTCTGATTAACAAAATGAAAGCAAGTAAATCGACAAGAGGCTCAATTACTTTAGTTGTTGAAACTTCAATTAGGAAAACTCTTGGAGCTTCATCAATGCTCTGTGTATGCTAAATAAATTTCTACGAATAATTTAAACAAACAATTATTTCCATCTTATTTTTCTAGGATGAATATATGATTCTTGCTTGCATCATAAGATGAGGTTGTAGAAATAAGCGCATTTATGTGAAAAGTTGAAGTGGTAGCTAATAATTATTATAGTGGTATCTAATAGTTATTATAAACAATTATTATCGTATTATTTTAGTTATGAGGGTCAATTCTGATTGATGTATTAATATATTGTTTTTGATTTTTTAAAATAAAATTGATATTTTTTTTAATATGACAGGTTCGCAGTACGTACGGACTTATAACAACCTGTGAAATAGAGAAAATAAAAAATTATAATAATACTTATTGAATTATGGTTTGTTTTATTCTTTTTTCATTTTTAGAATTGTGTAACGTTACTAACAATTTAAAGAATTCATTTTTCACATTGTTTAAACAATAGATTACTTAAATGTTTAAGAGGCTCCAAAAAATAGCAAGAAAGAAGAAAAAAACAAAAGTAAATTTTATTTTGGAACATTTAGGCCACTAAGAGTAATGAAAATGAATAATAAAAATCACATTTGTCTGACGTGTAATGTCATTTAAGATATAATCAAATAACAGAGGCTTGAATTGTTAAAATAAAAATAAAAGATAAGCATGATTAAACAATTAAAAATAATGTTATTATAAATAAATATGTGTTAATATGTTTTACACATTTGCACAAATAAATAATTTAAATAATAACAGTTAATAAGGCTGGTAATACTAAGATAAAAAATGTTTAATTCTTCCATATGTTTGGAAGATTGATAGCTGAGGAAATTCAGAAATAATTGGGGCTTAAATGAAGTTAAAGAAAAGGTCTTGCTTATAGAAGAGGTTGAGAAATTCTAAAACAAGGGGCCGCACTCAGGGGGAAGTATTTTTTAAACAAAGTAGTTTAATGAGAAGAACTATTCAGGTTCATTGGCTGGGATCCCATGTTTAAATAATGGACAGAGGAATGAGGGGTTAACAAATTAAGAAGGTTTTTGATTTTAAATGTTCTGAAATGTTATACACTTGGGAAAAATTGGTGTCGGAAAACTCGGCATACCAACTGGTGACTCGGGAGTGCCTGGGAACTTCAAAGACGAGTCTAATCAAACAATTCATTTTTATTAGTCTCTTCATTATAATTTTTAATTTATACTTTGAAGGACTAACATGCTAGAAATAAACACATTTATTTATTGCAAAAATATTCATCCAATTGGTAAATTACTCTTTTTGCTAGTAAATTTTGTATTTTAATGACAGTGATAGTAATTATTATGTCACAGAGTAAAAAGTAACTTCCATAAATTTCCTTTAATTTGATTTTGTACATAAAACATCAAGATATGTGAGTAAATAGTAGATTAAATAAGTTATAAATTTTACTATGTAATATGTGGTGTGATAAAAGTTATGTTGATGGAGGGACAATAATCAAAATGAAAATAGAGGAAAATTATGGAGCAGTACATTCTAACTTAAAACAACCTACGGAAAAGAGAAAAAAATAATTGTTAATTTGAATTTCTAAAATTCCAATGTATAATAATAATAATAATACTTATTGATTTATGATTTGTTGAAGTCTTTTTTCATTGGCTGGAACAGTATAACAAACAACAAAAAAATTAAAATATTCATTCTTAACAGATAAAATATGAATTAATAGTAACAAAGTTAGAAAGTTATAACATAAAGTGACGAAGTAAGCAATAATAAAATAACAGTAACAATAATGAAATTAACAAAGCAATGAAACATAAAATAATGATTTGATATATAAAATTAAATATGATTAACTTTATGTATATGAAATAACAGTTACAAAGTTAGGAAGCGATGGAATAACAGAACTATTATAATTTTTTTAATTTATTTATTTTTTTTTAGGATGCTATAAAATAAAGTGACGAAGTAAACAATAATAAAATAACAGTAATGACATAATGAAATATAAAATAATGATTTGATATATAAAATTAAATTTGATTAACCGTTCATGTATAAAATAACAGTTACAAAGTTAGGAAGTTATTGAATAACAAAACTATTATAATTTTTATAATTTATTTATTTTTACTTTGTACTTTCATTTATTGAAAACCCCAACCAACTTCTCTTCAATATATTTTCTACAGTCAACAATTACCCATTATTATAATTATTGTAAGTAATCTTATAATTAATGTAAAACTTATATTTTTACTATGAAGGTCTAACATGTTAAAATTAAACATGCCATTTTTATAGTCCAATTTTGATGATATTTTTAGGGAATGTAGTAATCTTTCAAATAACAATTGGTGCAAAGAAAATGTTTGATGTAGTTTAAATCTGGACTCTGGAGAGGGATTTTCAACTAATTAATTTTCTATTATAATGGCTCCTTCAAAAATAATAAACTAATTCATGTATATAATCAATATGGCATACCGACAAAAAAAAAAAAGTCGTGAGATAATATTTAAAGATAATAATAATATATCTTAAAGAAAGTTGTAGTTATTATTATAAAATTATTTCTTACAATAGGATGTTTCTTTGCTAATAATGGTCCAATTTTGATGATATTTTTAGGGAATGTAGTAATCTTTCAAATAACAATTGGTGCAAAGAAAATGTTTGATGTAGTTTAAATCTGGGCTCTGGAGAGGGATTTTGTTTTCATTTGTATAATTTTATAGAAACTTGCCGGCTTGTGTGAATAATATTTATAATATATAAGTCAGCAAACAATTGTCAATTTTATTTATAAGTAAGGAAATACAGTGTATTATGAGAGGGAGCAACTAATTAATTTTCTATTATAATGGCTCGTTCAAAAATAATAACTAAGGCATGTGTATAATCAATATGGCATACCGACAAAAAAAAAAAGTTGTGAAATTATATTTAAAGATAATAATAATATATCTTAAGGAAAGTTATGGTTATTATTTTATTATATCATAAAATTATTTCTTTTTTATTCTATGAAAGAACATTAATAATAATAATTATGTCTATTGATACACCATATTCAAAGTTATATAATTTTAATTAAGTCCTTGTCATGCTATGATAGAAATCAAATATCTCAATTAAAAAGTTAATATAAACCTAATTAATAGACAAAGGACAACTATTGATTATTACAGTCATTATTGGCGAGTTATTTCTTGAAAAAAAAATGTTAATTTTTTTTTTGTTTATGTTAATGACGTAATACACTCCTGTTCTACTTATTGAAGTAGTCTTTATATTCAGTTTACACTAGTTTGTCACGTGAGTACCCACTTATAGCTCATTGTTCTCGGTTGAAATTTTATCTTTATCAGGTCCATTATCCACTTATCATTATTGGCCCAAGATAAAAGGCTCTTGCTAGTCTTCAGGCAGCCAGTCAGATTGTCCAGTCAGATACGAGCCTCCAACCATCCTCTGCCCAAGAGCATGAACATGGACGCCAAACAGCCATTATCAAAAAATGACACAATTCGCCTTCGTAAGAGACATGTTGGGTAAGTGTTACGTTATTTTTTTTCAATCTATTTATAACATATTTTACTAATGGAGTGGGCATTAGTCATCTTTGTTATTGTTTAGAATTTTATAATTTATATATTTTCATAATTCTTTAGTAATATTTCTTAATATTTATTTATTCATTTCATTCTTTTTAGGTAGCAAAATAAGATTGCCCATATTATAATCTACTTATAAGTTGACATTTGGGGCTGTATCTACATTTTTAAAACTTTCTCAATATCACAGTTTAATAACTTCACAATAATTATTAATGCATGTCTTTCTGTTAAAGTCGAAATATTAAAATCTATAAAATTACATCTGGAAACATTTGTCCTTAGTTAAAAAATTGTACTATCTAATATACATGATATTTTATTAAAAATATTAATTTTAGTATTTGACACTAGCAGGAAGCTTTGCAATAATAATTATTTTGAATTTATTAAACTGTGATATTAAGCATATTTTGGAATTGGGGATACTGTCCCAAAATGTTAACTAATAAACATATTATATGGAAGATCTTATTTTGCTACCTACCAAGAAAATAAATTATGTAATGTTGATGTAATTGTAATGTAAGTGAGGTCCATAAATAATTAGCATATTAGCAATATATGTATGAACTCTGATCATTTTATCGTTGTATTTTATCTTTGATAAAATAGATACATAAACATTTTTTATTTCTAAATTTCTCATCATGCATAATATTTATTATTAATTATGTTATTAATCTATCTTTATGGATATTACGGTAGTATTTCTCAGTGTAGATATTTTGGGCTCTCAATTGACTAATTGATTTTGATGAATGAGCTATCAAACAAAATTTCATTAGAAGTTTTGAATGATAGTAACATTCTCCCTAAATTCAAGGAAAATACTTTATTTGTAAATAAATCTAAAAGTATACATTTTTTTGGATTCCACCGTTGTTTAATTCAGAGATTACTTAATTTCCTACAAAAATAAAAAATAATTATCAAAATCTGACCATTATTAGCAAAGATACAGTCTGTAGTAAAGAACATTTATCTTGGTTTATTATTATGAATGAACTTATATGATTTGATTGAAAAATAGAAAATGATTTCCTCTATCTCATAATAAATTGCATTAACTTATTTCTATATTATATCGTCAATTTTTCATTTACTAGTATACTATGTGAATCATTCTCATGGGCCAGCTAGTTATTTCAATTGAGTTTTCTTAAAAAAAAAAAAAAAAAAAAAGAACCTCTTCATAGTAAAATTTTTACATACCCAACTTTTTTTATGAACCTTTAATTTTTATTAGAAACAATGTTATATATGTAAAAAACAATTTCTATATATCAAGCAAAAATGTATAAAATATTTTATTTTCATTAAAAATAGCTCTTAGTTTATTCATTAATGAGGATAATGGAAAGGAGACTATATTAAATGTTTAAATAAGAAATAAGCCCCAGTAGTCACTGTCATAAAATTCTTACTTACTTACTATGTAGCTTTATAGCTCGGGGTGGGTCTTGGCTTCCTAGATTATAGCATGCCAATAATCTCTATTCTTTGTCCTTTCCTTCCAGCTTTTCACACCCAGTGTTTTATGGTCACTCAACATCTTGAAGCCATCTTTTCCTTGGTCTTCCTTTTCCTCTTGTGCCACACATTGTAGAGAACAATGCCCTATAAGACATCCTGCGGTTGTTCATTCTAACCACATGGCCTTACCATTCCATACGCCTAGTTTTAACAAAATGAACTATATTGCCGCTATTATATAGTTCATATAGCTATGAATTTTTTCGATACCTCCACACACCCTCTTCACAAACTGCTCCATAAATTCTTCTCAATATATTTTTTTTTGAAAAATATTCAGCATACTAATTGTGCTTGTACAAAGGGTCCATGTCTCCGCTGCATAAAATTCTATTTATTCTTAATCAAGCCAAATTTTTGTCAATTCAGACATTTCAAATGTCTCTTGAAAATGTCTTAAATGGCTGAAATGTAGGATGAAAATACAAAGTAAGATTGATCAAATACCTATGGAGTTTTTTATTCGACTTTTATTTTTTTCATACTCAAAAAAGGCGTTTTGGCTTTGTTAAACAAGTAATTTGGTATTTCAGTAAAAACGACAGTATAAATAAAATAAATTCATAAAAACATTTTAGTAGACTACCTCAAAGATTTGCTTAAATCTATCAAGAGTAGTGGTACTGTAATAGAAGAGACTCGGATACTGAAAGATATTGATATACTTTCGGTAAAACTTGTGGGTATAACTGAGAACTTTTTTTTTATTAACAATCCAAAGAATAGAACAAGGAAGAGCAGGTTTATTTTTTATTTACATTTCATGTAGGCAGTTCATGTGTTAGGGTTGTCTGCTTAAAGCTATATGACGATTTTTTAAGCGAAAGGTCGGATCGATTTTTAAGTTTTATGGCTCAAATTTTCCTGTGGGATCTCCTGAATGTTTTGAAACAATTTGAGCCCAAAGCAACCATTATTAACTAAAATGTGTTTTATCGAATTTCTGAAAGTTACGTAACGATTTTTTAAGGGAACGGCTGGATCGATTTTTAAGTTTGTTATTCTAAATTATTCGGTGAGATTCCGTGGGTGTTTTGAAAGCGAAGCGACACGTGGGTTATTTGTTTGGGGTGTTGGCTTATATATATATATATATATATATATATATATATATATATATAACGATTTTTCGAGTGAACGGCTGGATCGATTTTTAAGTTTGATAGCTTAAATTGTTTGTTGACACTAACGGATCCATAATTTAATTTTGGTGTATATAGATATAAATAAAATAACTAACTACCTATACGAAACGATGTTAAGGTGGTTCTTAAAATCCTATTAAATGCAATCACACGAACAATAAAACTTAATTATTTTTTTCACAAGACATGGTTATATTTTACCATTTTGCGATGTGGGGTAGAGGGAGGCTTCAGCCGGAAAGATCCGCGTTTATTCGTTAATGAAATTTGCCTCCCTCAAAAATTTAGATGGCGCAACTTATGCCACACAATTTCCTTCTGGGTACCTGGGACTAAATATAACCATATGTCTAGAAAAAACAAATATATATTCTCAAAATGATTATTGTTCGACGTACTCACTTATAGGCCTAGCCAGCTAGTCGAATTTTTTTTCTGGCAAACTTTTACGTCAGTATTAACTAATCTCGATTAGAATTTCTTAAGATGTTTACTATTTGCCTATATATAACAAGTGTAATCAATTTCTTCAAGAGTATGTACTCGTGATTAAATATCAACATGCGCCTTCAAGGAACCCTATTTACGAATAAAGCCATTGAAACCAGCTGTAAATTTCCGTTTGTTATCAATGGTCAAATGTTTGTTCAACTGTCAGACTCTTTTCACGAGATTTTTCTACTTATATCATATAATCTTATCTAATGACATTATGTTCAAACATATTTTTAGATACAATTTACAGAATCTTTCATAGCTTTCAAGATTGAGTTATCTCTCTCTGCCTTTGATGTACTTTTGCAACTGTCGTATATCATTTTGATAATGTTATCGCTGCTGTCTTAAATATGTATACAAACAGCTACCGATAACTGGAATTTGAATGGAATGACTGCGATACGAGTTATTGTTCGAATTATAAATAGTTTTCAATTATGAAATTGAACTTCCGAGAACTAGGGTCAAATTATAAGTCTACAGTAGGGATGGGCGATAGTTCGATAGTATCGATAGTTTATTAACTTTCTGACACAAACTTAAAGATGATTTATTTTCAGTATGTTCTTTATTTATTTATTTTAAAATGCTGCATAAGCTTTATAACTATTAACATTTATATAGATACATTCTTAAAGATTAATGTCAGGGCACTAATAATAATTATTAAATAAATAATTTTAAAAATTATTGAAAAGAAAATACATTTATATAGAAAAATAAATTGCATTTATTTCACTGATCTTTGAATTCAAACTAGAAACATCGACTACATATAGTTAGTATTGATTTAACCATTTGGTTAAAAATGGAGGCGAGAAATGTTCCTGTCTTTTTATTTTCAAGATTCTAAATTTAATTTGAAAACACACCTAGTTTAGAATATAATAAAACTGTAATGATATTCTTGTAGATTTTTTAATTATATGTTTTTATGGGGAAAAAAAATTAAAAAAGATGAGGTAAATATAACATTTTTTCCCATCCGCACAACTGGAGTTGTAAAAATATTTTTAAGAAATTAATTTGAGATTGAATTCTTTTTTTACCTTGAAGGCTTCTTTTTGTTCAATTTAGTTTCAGTTCTATATATTACTAATAATAGTTTCAAACATGCCTTCACACTTCTATCCATTTATTTTATTAATGTGGCGTTTCCATTAGGTTTACAATAACCCTTTTCTATTATCAAACATCACGGGCGGATCTACGGGGGGGAGGGGGGGGCTTTCGGCTGAAGCCCCCCAAAATGGAAAAATATAACCATGTTTTATGAAAAAAAAATTTAAAAATACCTCTTAAAGTATTATTGTTCGTGTAATTACATTTAAAAGTACTTAAGGAATAACTTAAACACCATTTCATATAGGTAGTTAGTTTCTTTCTGTTTTTCCAAAGTAATTATCGTCATTTTTATGAAAAAAAAAGGTTTCGGGCTGAAGCCCCCCCCCAAAATTAAATCCTGGATCCGCTAGTGTCAAACATTTAACTTTTACATTGTTATATTATCACTTTATGTCGTACATCAATAAATGGGTAGAAGAATGAATTAATGTAATTAAAATTATTCCTTTAAGTACATAAAATTTTAATATAATTTGTGTCTAAAGCCCACCTTGCAAGGTCAATATTATTGAGTCAATATCGAATATATTGACCGTCTGAGGGATATATTGTAACAATTATATTGACATTTGTACTATGTATAAAAAGATCAAGAATATTGATTCAATAATATTGACTGTGTAAGGTGGCCTTAAGGGGAAGATAAGAACTATCGATACTCAATAGGACTATTGACTATTGCCCATCTCTAGTCTACAGGGTGATTCAGTTCTTAATGGCGGAACTCTGGAGTTAATTCTAGACAAAATTCCAAACAAAAAAGATCATTTGATACATGCTTCGATTTGGAACGAAAAAGGAGTCAAGTTCAATTTTGTGTTTTCTTAAGGTGTTAACGTTTTCCCTTTCACAGAAAGCGATAACACAAAAATTATTTAATTAAAGTTATTAACAATTGTTTCATAGTAAACTAGACAAAATTTTCTTTAAATACAAGTAGAGTTTGTCTTTGTCAAAACAATTTAAACTTGACTTCTGAGGGGCTTAACTAAGATAAGTCGTGTTTTTAAGAAAACACAAAATTAGACTTAAACTGGAAATTTGGTCTAGAATCATCCTACACATTAAAAAATAGAATAATAAACTTTTGTCAATAATATATTGTAGTCATTTTTGCTGAAAACACATGTACTTTTAGGTGACAGGGTATCAAATCACCTCATTTTTTATAAAACTTGATGTGAATTTAAACTTATTTCGTAATTAATTCTTAACTTAATTAATATGGGCTTAAAGCTTACTAAACAAAGAAGTTTTCCTAAAAGTGGGGTATCTTTAGTACAGTTGGAAGGTAATAAAAAAAGTCCGGAATGATTCATGATTTTTTCAAACAGAGAAGTTAGCCTAGTTTATTCGTTCAAAAGTCCTCTCTAAATGGTTTGGCAAATTAAAGCTCATTTGAAGTAAATTTTGAAAAAAAAAAAAAAAAGGAAAGAAACTATATGAAATGGCATCAGTGATTTTTGAAGTCCTATTAAATATAATTAATAATACTTTATAAGACAATTATAGAGTAATAATACTTTATGAGACAATTTTTTAATATTTTATCATAAGACATGGTTATATTTTACCATTTTGGGGGGAGGGAAGGCTTAAGCCCAAAAGCCTCCTCCTCCCCCCCTCACCTCCATAGATCTGCCTGTGTCACTCTATATATGTAAATTCATTCCATATTATTATTTTTTACTAGAAAATTATAGTGTGCAGCATGTTATTTCAGATATAATATTTAATATGTACTGCGTTAACTTTTAAAAATTTTAGTACATATAGAATTCATGACAAAAAAAAAAAAAAATATTTTATTAGTATCTTTCATTGCATTTAACTTTTCAACAAAATGACTTCATTTAAATCCTCAAACTGATGAACAGACAAAATTTGAGCAGTCCACTGAATTTTCTGAGTAGTAGATGTCCAAGGCAGAGGTACTTCCCCCCCAAGGTCAATGGCGCATAAATCACTTTCCCCCTCTCCAAAAATTATATTACCCTCTGCTTCTTAAAAATAGTGTAAGCTAAAGTATAATTACTAGAATTGTAGATCATAAACAATTACATTAGTTGTGTCTGTCATATGTTTTCCGTTCCACCTAATTTTCTATTTTGAGGCTTTTTACTCTAAAAATTTATAACTCCGTCAAAATGTGCTCCCCTAAAAAACTTTGATGGCGCAAGTTGAGCCATGAAACTTCCTTCTGGGCACTCCTGGTCCAAGCTACCTATACACTTGCTCCACTGTCCAGCAACCCACCTATCCAATGGCTCAACATAAATATTTAATATTGATTTAAATATTTTTTCATGTAGATTATTACCCTAACATCACAATACGTATCAAAACTTCCTCACATAATCAGCCAAATGTAATATTACTAAGTTCTAATTAATTTAATTTAATCAAATTTCATTAATATACAAAGGAAACAAAAATTGAAATTGGTCTGGATGTTGGATGAAAATCCAAAAATCATTTTCACTTTTTACTTTAAATTCTATTTTAGAAATATTTTGCTCTAAATATCATTCATATATTTTGCATTAACAAGTACAGTTCAATACCCATTCATTATCTATGCTCTTGTCTTTGAATTGCATTTTGTTATCTCACAAGTTGTTTATCTTAGGGGATGCACTGGATGTTTGCTTTTTGATATTAGGGTCAAAGCAATTCTGTTATCAAATTAGGGTCAAATATATTGTATTTACATAAGAAATACTTCCTGCTTATTTGAGATAAAACGTGCTAATTAGGTTTTAACATTAAATTAAAACTGACATAATTATATCAAAACTGTTGATAAAAAGTTCTTTAATGCAGTCTATCTATTTATGGAAGTTATACATAACTTCTAAATTTTGGAAAAAAAAATCAATGAATAGAAAAATTAAATCTACTATTCTAGATTTACGCACGTGTATGTTACCAAAACAATTACTTAGTGTAAAACTTAAGGATAAAGATTATTTTTAGGCGTTAAGAAAAAAAATAATAAAATAGTCAAACCGCATTTACAATTTACCGATTTCCAGATGTTACTGTACATATTTAATAAATACATATATCAATAAAATACAATAATAATATGTTATGAATAAATGTAGTGTGTATCTATTAAAATAAAATTTAAAAATGTTTAATGATTTTTCACATTAACTGGGTAAATATCATCCAATGTCTAGCTGTAATTCTGATTAAATTTCAAATTAATGTTAAATATAAAAGAGTAAATCTTTTCTTTTTCTTTTTTTTTTTTTGTATTATTTCTGAGTAAATTAAATATACATCTGCAGCACTATATATTTTAACCATTCAGTGTGTTAATCACTAGTTCATTTTAAAACATTATTTTTTTCATGGAATTAGTTAATAAGATCAGCTTGTACATCTTGTTTTTAAGTTTACTTTGTTAGAAAAATATCAGATTTAAATTTCATTTATTGCTTTCTAAATATTTTATTCAAACAGGTATTAAATTGATAAGAGCTTGTTAATTTATTAAAAAAAGATTAGTTATTTTGTCTAATTAGATGACACACCATAGGTTGGTTCCAAGAATAAAATATATCATTTACGAAAATAAAATACAATAATTTTTTTTCTCTTTATTTTGTTTTAATATTTTTAAATTGTCTGATGTAGTCGAGTCTTAAGTAGTATGTATAATCGATAAGTAGAAAAAAAAAGAATGAGATATAACATTAATGTAATTCAATAATTAATATAGAATATAATACATTAAATTATATAAATAGTTAAGTAAGACTTAAGTTATTTTCAGTTAAGAAAAAGAAAAATTATAACTGAGTATTTGGTTCGTAAAGTTAATGATTATTAAGTACCCAATTCAAAATTTCTATTTTAGTCTTCTTTGTGACTGGTTTATTTTATAGAGGCTTTGTTTTACATTTGAACAAATATGTAACCATATAATATAATAATAGAATACCATCTATTTTGTAATATTTATGAAAATTTATCATTATCTTTTCAGAGAATCGTGTAAACTTTTTTTTCGGAGTAATCCCATTAAGATAGTGAGAGCTAAGGGACAGTATATGTACGATGAAGAAGGCAGAAAGTACCTTGATTGCATCAACAACGTTGCCCACGGTATCGTAATTTATTTTTTAAATATTTTATTTGTCTTATAATGTTTAATTAAATACCTTATCACATTTTTTCCCTTCTAGTTGGCCATTGTGACGAAACCGTTGTTGAGGCGTCAGCTAGGCAAATGGCAACTCTGAATACCAACAACAGATTCCTGCATGATAATTTGGTACTTTGTGCTAAAAAATTGACAAGTACCTTCCCTGAATCATTATCGGTTTGTTTCTTTGTCAACTCTGGTTCAGAAGCCAATGATCTCGCATTAAGAATTGCTAGAGCTTACACCCATAATGAAGATGTCATATGTTTGGAAGAGTAAGTAGATTTTCTTGCACATTTTGACTGATTTTATGATTATATTTAACATCACTTAATCCTTAAGTGATAAAATATGCCTGAATCACACACAGTAACCTCCACAAATGTGATTAAGTTTATTACTTACATCACTTTTAAATTCGCATTTGATTTTGGGTTTGTATTTAGGATATTTCTAATTAATATACAATATTTACACCTGCTCGTCCAAAGGAATATATTGACAGCCATACTGCAAAAGCCTGTATTTTATTAAAAGTGTATTTTTGAACTTTTTTTTGTCAATATTGGCCTTAGGCATATTCAGAACTAAAAACCAAAAAATGTTATTTAAAACAATACATCTTTTTATCTTGAGCTAGTAGTCAAAATTAAACTAAAAATATAGTTTAAAAAATAAGAAATAGACATATTTCTGACATATTGCTCTAAAGCTTCTCAATCCATTATAAAATTTGATTCAGAATACTGAAATTCGCATTGGCTAAATAGGGTACAATCATATTGTGTTGAGTTATTTAGCTAATATTGAAACCAACTGTCTCATATATAGCCAAGATTCTTTTTTAGAATGGGCTATTTAATAACTAACAGTATGTTTAGTATAATTCTTTTTGCGATAGATATACTGTTTGTTAAGAAATGTTTTTTAATATTGAGCTCTAAAGCTCATTCATATCTTAGTTACAAAGACCTCTTTAAAGTTTTGTTCGTACAAAAAAAGCATGACCTACTGCCATCATTACCTAAAAAATGGAAGCTAACTGAAGTAATTAAAAAAAGACAAATGGATACTTTCAATAGAGAAGAATAAAAATAAATAGTTTTATTATACTATGCTGTACATATTATAATTTTGAAAATGATCATATTGAATAAACTAAAACATAAAAATGTAAATCTTATAAAATTTGTCAAGAATTTTATTGCTACCTTGAGATTGCAAATGGTCAAATTCTTAATAAATCATTAATTTATTATTAAGAGCATTTTAATTAAAATTAGTACCACAGTAAAATGTACGAATTACTAAAAAATGTTGTAGTTATTATTGGAAACATTAATGTATTGTATTGTCTATTTATAATCCTGTATTTATTTGTTTTGTTATTGTATTTCAGTGCATACCATGGCCACTTAAGTTCCATTATTGACATATCACCCTACAAATACAGGAAGCTCGACAAATTTCCTAAAAAGGATTGGGTTCACATTGTGAGTGATACAATTTATCTTTTCATATTTTCTTATTTTTCTCATAAAAAAATTTTAAAAAAAATTCTGAAATAGAAAAATTCAGATCTTTTCAAACATCAGTTCACTGCTTTTCTTCTATATAATTTACTAGTAGGTATTTGTGGCAAAATGTCTCGCACTCCTTGCAGGCACCCCTCCCCTATGTCTACCGAGGAAAGCACAGGGATGTGGAAACTGCCGGAGAGAAGTACGCTCAGGAAGTTGACAAACTGATCGCAGAAGCAACGGAAAATGGAAGAAGAATCGCAGCATTCATTTCAGAGTCTCTTCCAAGCTGCGCGGGCCAAATAATGCTGCCTGAGAATTATTTAAAGAATGTCTACAGGTCTAAGATGGTTTTTTTCTTAATTTAAATGAAAAATTAAACTATTAGTCAGCTTTATAGAGCCCTTTTCATTCAGTTATTAGAATTAGTATAAAATCTCTTGAATGGCTTCATTTTATTACAAACTAAAACTATTTCATTTACAAAAATTCTCTGAAATAGGGCATTTTCAATTTGGAGATTGTTAAACTTAGTTATTTTAATGAGTTACTAAAAGATCATGAACACCCATTTACTTTATACTTGGATCATAAGAAAATTTTATCGCAAAATTGAGAAAAAAGGTGGTCTATAAAAATATTGGGTTGTTTGGCCAAAATAATCTCATATTTTGTAATATTGGAGGTGGAAGTCACGCCAAACGACCCAATATTTTTTTAAGCCACCATTTTTCTTGATTTTGTGATTAAATTAGTCACAATTCAAGTGGAAAACGACTGGATGTTCATGAGTTTTTTTAACCTCATTAAATTGACAAAGTTTAATGATCTCCAGATTAAAAATGCTTCCTTTTTGCGAATTATCATAAATAAAAAAGTTGTAGCTTATAATAAAATGAAGCAATGCCCAAAATTTTAGACTAGTGTTAATAATTTAATAAAAAGGGATCTGTACAGTGGACTATATGTTGTAAATTATAACATAAATGATTTAACAGTTACACTAGTTGTAAATTGTAACATTGTTTCTAAGGTCAGACCATGTTAAATGGTAGTTTTAGTTTAAATAAGAATAAAACAAAAATCAATTCGGTCATTATTAAATCAAATTAATATTTATTATAATTTTCAAGTTAATACTTGAAATTGATCAATCTTAAAATACTGAACCAATTTTGATGACACATTAGAAATATTTATCAATTAGGTTCGAAACAGAATGACTTTGAATTTAAACTTAAAACATAAATTTACCAATTATGTTAGAGTAAAAAAAAAGAATCAGGATTATTTAGGTATTTGGTTAAAGTTAAAAAACTTTAGGATTTTATAGAAATTGGTTGAAATCAGAAAGGCTTCAGAACTATTTATTATATATATATATATCAATTGGATAAGAAAAATAAAAAAACAAACAATAAGATTATACGATAGTATAAACATCATTTAGAGCAAAAATTTGGACAGAGTATAATAAATTATTTTTTGTTAACTTGATTTAAGTCACTATTAAGTAATATTATCAGTACAGTCGACTTTTATTTAATTTAGGATATTTGAATATAATAAAATCAATGTAGTACAAAAGACTTAAATAATATTATTCTACAAGATTTTTGATACTTTGTCAATTGTAAGAAAATAATTAAGGTGTTTTTTTGTCTTTTGAATTAGCTTTTGGAATTTCAAAAATTTAAAATCTACCTCATAATATAACACTTCAATAGTTTATACAATTTAATATTTACATTTTAAGGGCTAATTAGGACATGGTTATTAGGGATAGGCAGTCCAGATTTAATATCTTTTTAATGAAACTTCATATCAGTTTTTTTTTTTAATTTTGTGATTATTAATACATCCATATAATCTTATTAAGAAAATCAATGCAATTTTGATTGTTTGTATTATATCACAAATAAAAGATTTCAAGCCATTACAAATATATCTAACAGTCTTGTTTCAAATTTTAATTATAATAAGAGTTTAGCTTCCATAATTTTTTGTACGAATTTACATTTTTCTTTTCTACGATATTGGTATTAGTTTATTATTATTTTATATCTGTTATTTAAATTTTTATGTTAAATAAATTAAATGGCTGTTCTTATAATAGTGATCACTTTCCTTTATTGTAATTAAGTATTGCTATAAGTTAATTTTCTGCTAAAATAAAATCTATAATTATTATTTATGAATTTGCAGATCAGTAAGAGCTGCTGGAGGAGTATGTATTGCCGATGAAGTGCAAACAGGTTTTGGCCGAGTGGGAAAACACTGGTGGGCCTTCCAGTTACAAGATGTAGTTCCAGATATCGTTACTATTGGTAAGTCAAGTTTCTATAATAAGTTTTCAATTTTTTTAAAAAAACTAAAACATTTTTATAAATAATTTATTAATATAAAATTTATAACTAATCTTTGGTTTAGGTAAGCCTATGGGAAACGGACACCCTGTATCTGCTGTGATTACAACCAATGAAATTGCTCAAAGTCTATTGTCTATTGGAATGGAATACTTCAATACAGTGAGTGATTAAATTATTTTCAAGAATTTCAGAATATTTTAAACAATATATTAATATACTCTTTAAACTAGTTTAAATATACTAGTTTAAATGGTAAATGAAGAAAGAAAGGTTAAACCATCTCAATGAAATTTGCAGTGTAAGCTTAAATGTTAGTATTGAAAAACCTCAAAAGCTAATTTATCTAATCAATTTTTTAATAAAAAGAAAGGTCAAACCTGCGAAAATTGCATAAAAGTCATCCTTTTTTCATAATTTTGTTATAAAATATATTTAATATAGTTTTTAGATTTATTTTTAAAGTAAAACATTTTTTTATTTATGATTTTTGTATAAAACAATGGATTTCCTTAATGTATTAATTTTCTAAAGCCTCCTTCCATGTTTCATGTTCAGAGTTCATTCCTCTCACAAACTAATTCTCATCATAGAACCTTCTATTTGCTTATTTTATGTTTTCTGGGCCAACCACTTGCCTTCTACCAATTTTCCAAAAGTAAACCTCCTTTGGCAACCTCTCTTCAGGTTTTCTTTTTAAATGACCATACCACCTGAGAAATTTTTTTCGATTTCTTCAAGAATGTTTTTCTTTACCTTCATCTTATTTTAAATTTTTTCATTTCTTATTTGATCTATTATGGATAATCTAGCCAATCATCGTAATAATTCATTTCCGATGCCGGGAGCTTTTTTTAAGCTTAATTATTGTCCATACTTTTGATTTAGAGTGTTGGGGATATTAAATTTACTTTTCAACTTTTTTTATTTTTTGAAAATAATTAATTAAATATTGATTTCTTCTTTTTCTTCTTTAATTGAAAGTTGCAGGTTACTATTCATAGTTCGGCAAAAAAATTCTGGTTGTGACGTATTATCAGTATATTTGTGACATATCCTTACATTATAAATAAATAGCCATTTTACCAATGGAATAATATATTTATAAATATCCTTATATTGTAGAAAAGGATTGTTACAAACAATTACAAGCAGTGCCGATGATTGGAAAATATTCCCAAAATGTTTACTTGCCAGGATATGTAACAAATGTATTGATTGAGGCCACAAAAGAAGTTATTTTTTGCTGAACTCATGAATGTTAATTAATATTTGAATTAAAAAAACATTAATTAATTAATGTGAAGAAAAGCCTGACAGAGACAAAATATGAATGATAAACGCATTAATATATGGAAATTTATTTGTTGAGATTAATCTGTACATATAAATGCTAACTATTTCATAATTACCACTTCTCCTTCCACAAATTCTTTTAATGTTTGGTTATAATTCCAAAAATCCAACTATTGTGTCTCTAAAATACTCGTAAAATAAAAAAGATCCCATTAATGATTTATTAAGGATCATTAGGACATCACATTACTCCATTACATCCATGCATATACTGAAAGAAAGGAGGGGTAACTTTAACTCTTTAAGGAAATATTGATGTGTTAATTTTTTTTTAACCTACATTTCAGAGGTACAAGGCTGTGTGGTTAAATTTTCGCAATGATAATGTAACATTTAATTTCTGTCCTTTGTGTTTTTTTACTCATTTATAGTAATTATTTAAAGGATCAATGACGTTTTCATAAATCCAAATCTTTTATGATTACAGTTTGGAGGAAATCCCGTTTCTTGTGCAGCAGCTCTTGCCGTAATAGAAGTTGTGGAAAGGGATAAGCTCATGGAGCATGCCGATCAGGTTGGAACTTATCTACTTGAGGAATTAAACAAGCTTAAGGAGAGATATCCACTTATTGGAGACGTGAGAGGTATAGGCCTCTTCATTGGGATTGAACTCGTGACCGACAGAGCTAGCAGAACTCCTGCTGCCCCTCAAGCTCAGCATATCATTACAAGGTTAATTGATATAATAATTTAACATCAAGGATTCCATTAAAAAATAAAATAAGCTTTTTAATTTAACAAAAAATTATTCAATAGGTTCAAGGAGGAAAAGATCTTAGTGAGTGCTGATGGTGTTGATCGAAATGTTTTGAAGCTTAAACCACCAATGGTATTTAGTTTTGAGGATGCAAAACATTTTTTGACAATACTTGACGAGATTCTGAGTGAAATTGAAGATTTAGAATCTGATTTGGAAGAAGTATCGGTAACTGCTACAATTAACACCAACTCATCTCAGAGGCAAGTTTTTGTTGAATTAACCACACTGCTATGTTTTTAGAACATAAATTGAAAATTATAAACCATAAAGCCTTGAGTTTCCTATATTCAGGTAAATAGTTAACCAACCAAAATATAGAATTGAAGAGTAGGATGGTTGGAGTCAAAATAAAAAATAGTAAAAATAAACAATTATTTATTTTTACTAGTTTTTATTTTACCCCAACCATCCTTCTATTATTCACTACAGTCAGCCATCAGTCCACAATTACAAAATATAGAATATTTTTTTGGATAGGTTGATGTGATTTATAGTCTCCAATAATTATAAATTTCTTTTCTTTCTTTCCTTTTTTCTTTCTGAATCTAATCTGGTTTGAATCCTGAATTAAAAAAAAAAAACTGATGGAATCACTGTTCACCTTTATGTTACAGACTTGAGGCATTAATGTTCAGAATTATTTATTTATATCCTAATTACTTTTTGAGCTATTTGTTCTTTGATATTTATGTTACTTAGTACATTAATATCAGTACATTAACTGTAAACTTGGTTCAATTGTGCTACAGCCCAATCTAGGCCCTGGTTTACTTACTAAGATTCCATCAAGCTTTATTTTAAGCTGGTATACGGTTCTTTGAGCTTAAGAGTGCAATATTTCTGTTGAATATTGACTATATTATTCTTTTAATTGTATATTTTTGCATCTACTACCAATGGATTTTCTATTTATCATTGATAATTCCGTACATATTTTAAAGTCTTAAACACTTTTCTTAAAAAAAAAAAAAAAAAAAAAAAAAATGGTTCTTATTAATTATGGAAAGAGTTTTATAATAAAATTAATAGACCCATTGAAAAATAAACTTGAATCATTGATAATATTTTTTTTCATTTTAATTTAAATAGTTTTTCCATTTAAAAACTTTAATGTTGAAATACATGTATTTGATTTTAGGATTGCAGCTGTAAACTAAAGGATTACTTCATTAGAAAGTCAAAATTTTCCAAATATTAATAGAAAATAAATGTAATTAATATGTGTGACAAAATGTTCAGATGTAAATAGTCTTGTTTATATATATATTTTTTTTATGCAGTATTTCAGCGTTACTTAAATAACAGCTGACTTGATATTTTATTGTAATATATGATGATTGAATACATCTTGTTATTTTAAAAATGTAATAGATTAAATTACATATAAAACTTATTCTTTCTATGTAAAAGTTTTGTGTTGTCAACTTGATTGTTTAATCAAATTAATGTATTTAGATCTCTTTTAATATTGAACTAAAAATATTAACTGTGTTTTTTATGTGTAGTATTAAATTGATTGTATGTTTTTGTTTTATTTATTAATTTAGAATTTTATTTTTTTATTGATTATTAATTATTGTCATTTTTTTTTCTAACAATATTTGAAGGTTCAAGTGTATGATCATGATAAATAATGTTTTTCTAGTTATGAGAAAACTCACTATTATCACTTAAACCCATAAACTCACTTCAAGTCACTATTATAAACTTTAATGCAGACATTGATACAATTGATACCTTTATCCATGTGAATAAAAGTTTTCTTTATTCAATAATAAAGTGATAAATGAATACATTTTGGATAAACTTCTTGAAAAATGAGTAACATTTGCTTACTATACAATGATTACTACAATATACAATGATTACATACTCTTCTGAAAATTTGCTTTAGTCTATATTGCTATAATTTTTTTGCAGTTGAATAATTGTTCGTAAAAATTGATTGACATGATTTTTAAAATTTTATAATTTAATAACTATAAAATGTTATGGATTCATAGATCATTTAAAATTTTAAAAAATATATGTATATGTTTTCTAGTATTTTAATCTCATCTTTTAAATATGTTTATTAATAATGTGAATTTTTATGAATTATAATTGTCTTAATATTATTTTTATAGTGTTAATGCCTAATTGCATTTTTATGTCTTACTTTTTCTGTGTTTTGTATTATATATAAATGATATTTAAAAAAAAAATGTAATTACCAGCAATATATGATTTTATTATGAGCGATATATGATACACATATTATTATTTAGCTATCCATTCTATTTTTGTTTATAGCTTACGTTTATCACTGGAAGATGTCAGAAATCATAGGGGGTACCTATTGGCTGTTAAGAGATTTAGGCAGTATGGGGATTTAAGGAAGATATTTGATCAATAATGCCTAATGTAGTACATAAGCAATGTAATGCCTAAGTTTTTAACACAGGATCTGGAAGTGATGGGGTGGTCATTTTGGACTAAGTTAGGAAAATTGGCATTTCATTGTAGTGCTTCCGAGGATAATTGGAACTATCACAATCGCCTCAACTTTAACAGCGTTTAACCTTGATTTATTATTCCTAATTCTAGGAAAAATATTATTTGTTAAAACTTCAAGGAAAGGTTATTTTTAACTAGACTGAGGTTTGTTAAACTTTTTTTATGGTTGCACTGAGAAATAATATGATGGAAATTTTTATAAACTGCGATAAAATTAATTATAATTTAGCTGTTAATTAAAATGGCTTTAGCCTTCTCCCAATATGTTCCCCTAAAGATTATTTGGTTCCCTTTCTTCCAATATGGTTATCCAATGACTATTTAATTTCTTTTTCCATAGCATTTTGAAATATTTCATGCTAAAACTACTACTCGCGTCTTTTACCTGATATTTATCTCAATTACTAAGGTGAGCAAACAATAGATAAGAAAAAAATAATAAAATTTCTGTAAATAAAAAAGTTTATTTAAATGAATTACAGTCAAAGAATAAACTATTACGTGAAATTATCCACTCAAAACTCTCTCCATCTATCTGTCCTAATTCCTTTTTTGGGCTCTTTTATTTTCAATAATTAAGAACTCAAATTTATTAGTCAGTTAGGTGACTCCAAACTATGGTCCACTAAAGTTTCTTTGATTGCATGGTAACATTTTAAAAATTGTTAATATAATATGAATATTAGACTTTAGTACATCACTTAAACAAACGGTATAATTTTTATTACAAGATAAAAATTGGAAAGCTTTTTCAAATATTTCAAAACTACAGTGGTTTATAGAAATATATGTAAATTTTAAACTAAAGGAGGTAAACATCATTGTTTGTTTATCATGGATTTCAAACATATCACTTAACCAAGTTATTAACTTTTGTTACTAATTTAACTGAGAATACCTTTTTCGGTTTGATGTACCGTTCAGGAGTTACAGATAAAATAAAACAAAACGAGTTTTTTTGGCTGCAAAAAGTTCTTCTAAGTTAGGTCGCACGAGCACTTTTTTTTTTACAGATAAGCACCCATATTTACAAGTAAATAAAATGAAAACCTTACCAGATTTTTTGAAACAATACTCCCATTCCAATCACCAACTGACTATCCTGATATTTTTAAAATCTGTGGCTCTATAATGGCAGACAAGGTTTATTCGACTTCAAATAACACAAACTTACATATTTCATATTTAAGGCAAATGTACCAGTAATCGATATTGTATTAGTAATTTACGGTTTCAAGTAATACGCTTTCCACAGCCTATAAAAATTGAAAATACAAATAGGTTTTCTACTATAACACTTGAAAGGGTGATGCTTGAACCTCAAGTGATATGACACAACCATTTGAATTTTTAACAGACCAAGGAGAGGTGTTTGTTTCAACGAAGTTTCCTTATCACTTTTTTTAATGATATAAGTTTGAAATTTTGATTTGTTCATCTGCAATTTGCCATTTCTTACTTTAAAACTGCAAAATTTATTTTTTGAGTTTTTTAACTGTATAAAAAAAAGTTGTCTGATGCAATATAAGGTGTGAGAATTACATATGTATTTCATGAATAATCAACTAATTGACCGAATAGAGAATTTTATATAAAAGTCATTGTATAATATGAAATTTATTGGATTAAAAAAAAAAATTATGGGTAAACTAAAAAATATGTTTTCAATTTTTAAAAATCAATTATAAAAATTTCTTGATTTATTACTACAGGAATTAATAAAAAGGTTCAATGTTTTTATTCCAATGAATCGATTACTTCGATGTTTGACTTTCAATGTTTTTAAACATTGATATTTTTGTAATCAAAACGTTTGGAGAACCTTGGTTCAAGTGAACCCATTGTTATACTTCTTGTATTTTTTTTGCTTTTAAGTATTCCAATTGATCTTTAGACAAAAAAAAAAAATCTATAAATGTATAAACAGTAAGTAGTCTTTAAGAACATGATTATGAACAGAAGGACCATAAATAAGCTATCAACATTATTATACCTACCTTCTTATTTACATTCATCAGCTGTTCTTGTTTTGAATAATATTCAGTTAGTTAATTTTTTTTAGATTTTTTCCAAAGCTTAAATTATTTAAATGTAATAATCCCATAGTATCCTTGGTGTCATTTATGCCTATGATGGCATACCAGGAAATTAACTAATTGTAGGAAGTCAACCAAGATAGGCTACTTTCTTCCTAAATAATAAATATTAATGTGATAATATATTAAAATCAATATATTAAAGCAGAGGTCTCCAGTCTGTCCCTAGAAAGTTTCTTTGATCACATGTTAAAATTTTAAAACTATTAAAGAAATATTTAAAATTATGGAAATTAATCACACATGAGGTTACTACAACATTTATTGCATGTTTTTTTATCCCTTAGGAAGCAAATTTCACAAGTGAATGTGTAATTTATAGAGTTACGGAGTCTCCGATACATAGAGCTTTTAGAGAAGGTCAACATAAATTTCTATAAAAAGACATATTCGATATGCATAGCTCATATTATGGTGAACATTTAAACCTTTTTCTTAATAATGATCAGATACTCCAGTATTTGTTAATGATGACTAATTTCAAATACACGAAACTAAAAAAACTGTGATCAAGATTTCTGTTAATAATAAAATTGTGAAAATTACTCCACAACTTGAGTACAAAATGTGCAACACTAAAGAAAACGAAACACTTCATCATATATCATTTAAATGCCCAATTAATTTAAGGTTAAGAATTTACCAAGGTATGGAAAATCTTGATGGGATAGAAATATTTAAGCCAACCAGTGCAGAAGATTTGAGAAAATTATATTTTTTATCTCAAGTATATCAAATTATAGAGAATTGGTAGGGTAATGTAGAATATTGTCCTCTGCATTTTATGGATAACTTCCATATTGCACATCGGCATGTAATCTGTCCAGGTATTTTTCTTGGTTGTTCTCTTGTGTAAAGGTGTAATCTTTTAATTTAATTTTAAAGCATAGTTTAATATTATTATTTTAAAAAATATTTATTTATTGTTATATGTGTATTGTAGACAATTTTAGATGTTATATTAATTTGATAATTAGAACTATTTTAACTGTCTGATTTTTACTGAATATAATTTTAATTTATGCTTAAGAGTGTTGTAATATCTGTTTTGTAGTATAAAAAAGAATGAATTTGTATTTCCATAAGGATAATAATGTTTGTTATTTTTTTATAGACTCCATTTGTTTAGGGTTCTTCCCTAAAAACAAACAAAGATTGAATTGAAGTGTAATTTTCAGAACAATTTTTTTTTTTTTTTTATCACAGGCCAGCGGTTCTTAGAGGAGGTCTTACTTTGGCCCACGGGCCAAAAATAAAGAGATCCCTGTATTAAAGTATGAAATATAAAGGTAAATGAGTGAGTATAGCCAAATTGAAACAGTCTATATACTTAACATGATATTTACAATAAATAAATTACAATAAAAAGAAAATGTGGTATTCAACTAATACAACTTTAATGCTACATCATTATTCAACAGTAAATAAAACATTGTACTATTTTTGTAACAAAACTAAAGTAGGAGGAAAGACAACTTATACATTATTTGGTTTGAAAAATTATACACTATTTACAACCTCAAAAAGAGTTCAAACATAAATCATGTTTTAGTTATTCTTTGTATCGGTCATCAATTTTCCTTATATGCCAACATTTATAGAATTTAATGAATAAATGAAAAAAACAAAAATAGATATAAATTAATTGTTTGGATGTGATTTTAATATTCCATTAACAAATCCTTGAGTCTCTAAAATGCAGATAAACAAAATAAGTGAGGATATAAGGAACTTGTAGAAAGGTTTTGGAAGAAAATGATCTATATATTTGGTTTTGCTTATTACTGTCCTAATGATACCTGAATTGGCAAAATATTGAAAAGTTAATTGTATTTGTTATTTTAGAGTCTCAGGGATTAATATTTCAAATTAGTATAAAATCACAAAAGCAACAGGATGTATTTTATTATGAAGTACTAGACCTTTTTATTACAATAATCTATACCTGTTTTTATAGAATGTATCATTCAAAACTGAAGAGTTTTAGTTTCTCAAAATAATTGTTTTTACTATCAGAAAAATTATTAGAAAATGTGTTGTACTATTAACAATGTAATGTAAATATTTTTTCTACGAATTGAACAAGTATTATTTTCTTCTTTGGTAAGTTTGTTATTCATCAAGTAACAGTTGGCATACTTTGACATTTATTTTCAGTCCGTACCTTTCGCAATATGCTTAGCGATTACCTTTACAGCTGCGAATGTTTCCCTGCCAGTCGGAACTATTTGTGATCCAGGAAGAAGGAACCCATAAGTACCCCTATCTCTGAGTTCTACTGTGTAGCTGTACTTAATGCCTGCACGTCCTTTAGCCCAATCATCAGAGCTACCTGAAAAGAAAAAAAATTGCTAATTTATTTACATTCCAATTTTGTTTGATTCACAATATTATAAGATTTTTAAACAAGATTCTTCAATGATAATTCAGAAAAAAAGTATTAACTGTGTGTTTATTAAACTTAGGAATATTTTAAAGTACTAAGGTAGAATTAGAAAAATCGTAGATCATATACAATTGCACTTGCTGCGGTCCGTTCCATGTTTTCCTCTTGTCCCTTTGTCCGAAAATTCACAACCCCGTCGAAATTTGCCCCCCTCAAAAATTCAAAAACCCGTCAAAATATGCCCCCCTCAAAAATTTTGATGGTGCAGCTTGTGCCATGAAACCCTCTTCTGGGCACCCCTGGTGCGAGTAATAAATAACTTTATTTTTCTTATCACATAATTATTTTGCTTCCATTAACAAAATTAAATTAATATATCACTGCTTGGAAATATAGGAGCTTTAAAAAAACAAAACATTACTTTTGTTTTGCTTATGTTAACACACATTGGTATTTTCCTAGAATCCTTTAATTTGTTGGAAATTATGTATATCATAATTTTGAAATTTATTTCTTAAATCCGTGTCATTTTGTAAATCAATTAATTCCATCAGTAACTCAACTGAAACTGTTTCAATGTCTAAAATAAATGATGAAGAAAAATGTTAAGACTCACTGGCACAGGCGTATCTACAGAGGGGGGGGGGAGGGTTCATTCTGTAGTTCGGATGAAAGCCACTAGAGATCGCCAGTAAAACACAGCTACAGTGGCTTAATAATATTTGTTTTATTAATAATATTAATTTGTGTAATATATAATATATTAATAATAATTTAATAATAATATATGTATATTAATAATAATATATTTATATTAATAATAATATATGTATATTAATAATAATATATTAACAATATATTAATTAATATATTAATAATATTAAGCCACTGTAAGAGAGCCAGATTGATCTGCTAACACTTCTCAAATAATGTAGTCCAGTTTCAATGGTTTTTTTTTGGTTTTGTTGGAAATTTAAAAACTGTAAGGTGAGTGTGTTAAAACAGATAATCCAAGTTATACAGAAAATAGTAATATTTGTATTAATGATGAATGGAGGATGTTTTTTTTAATGAATTTTCTTATTAATTCCTTGCAGCTGTTGGAATACACAGAATCATAAAATTTGATTTCAGTAATTTATGATGAATTTATTTCTTTGGTAGTTTGCTTTCGAATGTGGGAGTGATAATTGATCCTTAAGAAACCATGATCTTTTGTGATAATATTGTAATTTGTAACCCATTTTTCATCTTCTGTTATAATATGAATGTATTCTTAACTCAATGAGTTATTATGAATTAGATTAGTAGTTTAATAAAATGTAATAAATGTATATAAATCTAAGAAACTAATAATAAACTAGTTGAACCTCTCTTTACTGATGGATGAAATGTCATATAGCAATCCTTTATATCATGGCAGCACCAATTAATGAATGTTCATTATATATTATAATGAACATTCATTATGAATAATGGCTTTTCCCTAATTATATTTTACTTTTAGATTTGGATGAAAAAAATTAAATATATTTTAAATTTTAATTTATTTTGCCAGATCAAAAATCATTTAATTGAAATTAACTTACCAGAGGTGGGATAAAGAAGTGATGGGGAACTTCCAATTTTATAAATAGTTCCATGTACTTTTTGCAAAGCTTCAATTGCTCTTCTCCCTACATACATCAGGTCATCATGGTCTTTGGCTATTTGCCGTGTATATCCCCATGGTAAGAGCCACATTTGGGAGTAAGAATGTAGAGTGAGGTAGGCTTTTAAGCCTTCTTGTTCTAAAATAAAATCTGCGATCGCCTTAGTTTCTGGTTCAGAAAATGGCCGTGGTCCTGAAAACAATATTATCTTTGATATGAATAAAGCCACTTATTGTGTAAAGAATAATATAATACAAGCTATATTTTTAAAACTATAGAAATAAATGGTTTTATCTATATTCCATCGAGGTTTTTGTAAAATTTACCTAAGTATTATGTATACTTGATTATAAAGTATATTTGACTTTACCTGCATATGTTGGTCCACAAGCATTATCTGATGCACCAGCTTCTCCCCAATGAAAGTCAAAATTTCTGTTCAAATCCACACCTCCACATCTTTCATCTTCATCCCAGAAAATTCTAAAAATATTTGATAAATTTTAATAAACATATATTTATTCTTCTAAATTACAGGTTGCCATGCTTTATTTACATGGCATTATTTTAAATAATTTTCTAATTTTGTCCTGTCACAGAAAATTAGGGTTAAATAAATTTACATCTTTATCATCCTTAATTATTTTTAAATATCATAGTTAGTTTACCATATTAAAACATATTTACAGCATATCTGTCGGGTTTATGTCTTTTCTTTCATCCACACATTGTAGCATATTTGTTTTTCCTTTCATTGGGCCCGACTCCCACTGAAGTCCTATACTGCTTGTTGCATGTTCACAACATTTGCCTTAATTGCCGATTGATTCTTTCTCTTTAATTTTGTTTAAAATTTACAAAACCATTAATATGACAACTAATCTTTCTTTTTAAAACAACTGATTCCTTTTCGTTGTTTTATTGTTGGTTCAGGATTCGATAAATTGTTGTATTCTCGTGTAAGAAATCCTCTTATGTTTTTAACACAATGAATCCCCCAAAACACATTTATCAATTGTTATTTAATTGCATGTATTCAATATTTATACATTATTTTATTTAGTAATACTCCAAAGATTCATTTCAAGTGATACAATAATTTAATCTTGAAATACTAAAGATAGTTGAAATGACGAGTACTACTCGATATTTCTCCTCAACCATGGAATTATGGTAGAGTTGAGGAGTTATGATCACACAATGCTTCTAGTGGTTTATTTCCTGCCTGTTTTGTTTTTAATAATAATAGTTAATAGAAACATCTAGATTTCAATGACTTTGAGATGTTCTAGTATTGGCACCTATTTTCGACCAATGAGATTCGAGGAAATGATCTGAGCCTGCCCTGAAAGGTTCCTTAGGCTACTTAAGCATCATCAGTTAATAAACATTATAATATTATTAAAATATACTAGTTGTTAAATGGTACAATGTCCTTCAATAATTGGCTACTGAGATTAAGTAATAATGGAAGGACATTGGTCTTTCCATTATTAAATAACTAATATATATCCCACATTGAATTCATTCTTGCTGTTCACTAAAATTTTAAAATTTTAGACATTGTCCCTTTTTATCCTGAGGTACACAATGATGACTTATAAATTAAAAAAATAATAAATAAATTTTTACCTTCCCATCTCATGTGGCCTATTTTTCTTAGATCGACTTTTCCTCCAGAACCTGTCGGTATTATGGGTATATTCGTAGCCATCAGGATTAGCCAGCGGCATGATGTACCAATCAACACTGTCCACAACTGCCCTGTTGGTCGAATAGTTTTCGACAAGTTGCTTTAGCATAAACAAAGCTACAGCAGGAGCTATCCATTCTCTGCCATGCATGCCTTAAACATTTTTTATAGATATATAATAGTACATAATTCATAAATTTAATTCTTAATTATTTGTTTTAATATAATTTTTTATCATGAAATAAGACTTTTGAGCTTTGAGGCCTATAAGATTGTCAACATATAAGTTCATAACAATCCGTGTACAGAAATTATTGTGGTTTTGACATTTAATCTTAATATCTCTGACTCCTAGAATTAAGCCATATTTAATATAATATTAATACTATAAATGAAATGAATTATGCATGACCTTAGTGATGCTGTTATGCAGCTTATAAAAAAAAAAATCAGTTATTTTATTGTTACCAATTATGAAAAATATTAGGTTATTTACAAAAATCAGTAAAAAAATAAATTCATCAGCCGAACATTTTTTCTTTTATCCTGCTTCAAGAAAAAAAATTGAAATAATTTACTGAAAATAAAATTAATTTTATGGTCAGTAAATTATATACCAGTATATAAAATCCGTAATTGCTTTGTAATTAATTGTCCCATAATATTTTATAAATAGGAAGATAAATTAAATTTAAATATAATGTCCTATAAAATTTTTTGGTAACCTGAAACTTTTACAAAAATTACCAAGAAAACCCAAGAGTTACAAGAAACAAAGTTTTAGTAGACAATGGCAGAAGTGGATTCTGTTTTTATTTTTATAAGTGTGAAATGAGAAACTAAGAATTGATGTTTAAATGGTCCTTAAAGACATCTTTAAAAAAATCTGGTTAATATTTTCCTGAAACTGTAGTGCTGTTTTTTCATTCTTCAGTTTTTTGGCATTCCACTTTTTACTGGCCACACAGAACGCTATCTTGGCTGTCCTAATTCTTTACTTGAAATTCATCACTACTAGGTAGTGATCTGAGTCAATATCAGGCCCTCTGAAGCTTCTGACATCTATTATGCGACTGCGGTGTCTATTATCAACACAGAAGTGATCTATTTAGTATATATTTTGACCATCAGGAGTGCTCCAAGTTTGTTTATGGATATTCTTATGAGGGAATACTGTGCTTATTATTACAGACATTTTGGAAGCTGCAAACTGGGTCATTCTTTCTCCATTGTCATTTGTTTTCTGATTTCCTATTGTTGGCTTATAAACATCTTTCTCAATCTTTGCATTAAGATCTCCTGCAAGGATTTTGATATTGTACTGGGGACATGAATCATCAATGTTCTCAAGCTTTGTGGAGAATTCTTCTTTCGCATTTTCATCTTTAACTTCTGTGATCTTATTTAATGTCACATTGATAAATGTGACATTAAATAAGCTCCCATTATTAGTCTTATCTTGCAAATACAATTATCTACTTTTTGAAAATCCATTACAGCATTTTGGAATTTCGTTTTCATTAGGAAAGTATATCCAAACTGGTACCTATCTTTACTACTACTGTAATAAATTGTGTAGTCTTGCTTTTTAAGCATACCCATTCCTAGCCATCGTACTTCCTGAAGAGCTACTATACCAAAATTATATTTAGTGCTCTCTAGTTGAAGTTCATCAAAGGCTCCAGTTCTAAAGAGGGTCCTCACATTTATTACACATTTTTTTTTGGGTCCTCCCCTTCTTCGCCTTAAGGCTATACGGGGTTTTCCCAGGCCAGGGGGTGATGAGCGGAGAATTCAAAAGACTGTCCCGGTACCAGGACGCAACTTGTGACTATTTTTATCCAGTTATGTTATGTATCAGGCAACGGTAGTGCTGTCAACACACGTTAGGCCATTCAGGCCACTCCCACCCAATTATTATTCCACAAATCCACTTTATAAATTGAAGATATGTCCATTTGACCTGTGCCGGGTCTTTTCTTTTGTTCTCCCAAATAAGTCTCCCTCTGGATCCACCAGTTCCCAGTGTTATATTTTAACTGGCATCCGAAAATGGATTTATGTTGATCAAAACACCTCTATAATTTATCTCACAGTGTTCACAAATTTTTAATTTAAACTTAGAGACATCTAGGCAAATAAAATAAAAAATAAAAACTCCTCAAAATAGAAAAAAAAGATTTACCCTTTTGGTGGTAATTAATAAAGTCAAATGATATATTTCACTTTCAATAAAAAGGTACTCTGTAGTTTATTCCTTAGCGATAAATCTAACTAGTGATATACTGACCAGCATCGATCCAGATTCCAGGTTTTTCACTCCTTTTCTTGTTTGTCGATATTTTCACAACTTTCAATGGCCTTCCTTCCGAAGATTTCCCGATCGTGATAAGGCTAACCAGCTTCGGTTCCAAAGCGGCCAGATATTCCAGATAAGCATCAATGTCTACAATAAATAACATATAAATATATATTTTTAGAATAGACCACATATCCTTCATTAAAATTCTTTTTGTATCAAATTTATGATTATATGATAAAATAAAGAGACTTAAATATTCTAATTATGAATTGACTTGTATAAAGATTAACACCTTTCGCTCGATGATACCTAGCCCAGGTCAGTGGATGGGCCCTAGCTGATTTTTCTTCTAATCTGCCTGTAAACTTTGATGTCTTTGGGTTCTGTTTCTTAATGTCCATCTAAAAAATTACAAAAAAAGTTTAATTATGAATATCTCAAAAAGCCATTTCAAGCCTTTGAATAATCTATTCACATTTCTAAGTTTTCACAAAAGTTACTAAAATTAGTTCATCCAAGTCGTTGTTAAGTAGTTTATTTCAATTATAAATACAAAAATGAAAAACATTTTTACAGTATAAAATTTTTAAAATATAAGATAATTTAATCAGGGCTGTTAATTTTATTTTTCATACACTCTACATCAATAGTACAATATATTCTAATTTAATAAGCATCTGAAATAAAATAATACAAGAGGGGGAAAAAAAAAAATTATTTTTGCGTTTTATTGTTCATATCATATATTTAAAGAAATGTTGAATAACTCTGGATGTATTAGCAGCCCTTGGTAAATGTGAAGAAAATATACTTTCTTAATATATTTATTATTTATATAAATGTCCCACCAATGGTAAATTAAAGTTCAATGATCCTTGTGGCATGTGAAACATCAAGATGAAAAAAACAGTTAAACAATAAAGGAAGTGGAAAATGTTAAATGGCCCGTAAAAAAAATAATGATCAATATGATGCATTTACACTTATAAATTAAAACTTCCCCATAATGTGGTATTGATCAACTTGAATTAATTTTTAAGGAATATTATGACTGTTTTATTCTAATTATGATAGAGTTGGATTTATCTATATTTGTTCTGACCAACCGTTTTGTACAAAACAGTATGTAAATCTTTATATCATCGAGGCCACTCTGAAGAGAAAGTAAAATGCATTTCCTCAAATTAGCCTTATTTTTATGGATATTAAAGCCGCTACTAGTCATTACCGATGCACCAAAGATTCTAATGACTAGTGCATATAATAATGCAGTGCAATTTATCTGATGACTTGCAACGGTTGGATCAATTTATAAACAACCAATGATGAATAATCATTATAATGGTGATAGTTGAACTATTAAGTATAACAATGCCCTCATTATTAACATACTAGAACTTATTTACATGCAATTAAAATAATAATTGCTTATTAGATGTATTCTATTAAAAAAATAAGTGCAAGTGATAGTGAATATATCTTTGCAGATGGCTCTATTATTACTCCTTTAAATTTACTTGAAAGCTTCTTTTTTTACTTGAAAATATGAAAGGAAAAATGAACTTACCTCTAGATTGTTGCTGAGAACTGTGAATCCTATATCTTTATCTGCGAGGTATTCCTTCATGTATTCTGCCAAATCAGGTGACACCAGGATGTCCGTCGTCCTGTTCTTCATGGGGAGTGACCAAAACTCTAAACCTGGTTCACCTGATGGCATTTTTTATGATTTAAAATATGAATTATAAAATGTTAGATAAGTTGATTTTTTTATTGAATTTCACAGTTCTAATCTAGGAAGATTTAATTAAAATTTTCAACCTTTTGCAATGTATTATAAATAAATTTAATTAAATAAATAATTAAAGATACTAATAGGTCAATGCTATGGTATTTTATTTATAAATAATGGAATATTATTTTAGCCAATATTCGATTATACTGTATTATAAAAAGATAATCTGTTAAATGCTGGATAATCTATTATTCTAATAAGGTATTGTTGGAAACTGACCAAATTTTCTTTCTAAAGTTCTTTTTTATTTCAATTTAATAGATGCAATTTGTCATATTATCACCTCACATTTAAGTAACATATTTGATAAATTGCAGTTTTGGAATTAGTTAAATTTATCCTTATATCAGAAGTATTTAAAAAAAATAAAATCTTATGAAAACAAACCTCAGAGAAGTTAATGTACCGTAAATATCCGCATATAGTTTATGGAGATACAGCTACCCATACTCTGCTGCTTTCTTTTCGTCTGGATGAGTTTGTTATTCACAAACATTTTTAATTAATCTTATCCTGAATAGTGCCAAAGGCATTTATATCTTATTACCTTTTTTCTTATAATCCAAAATAAATCAATCCTAAATGTTATAAAAATTCTTTTGTAAAAGATAGTTAAGTTTATTATACTAACATCATTATGTGATTCAATATAAACTACTATGCTTAAGAAAAAATCTTAGTATCTGTGATTCTCCGATTTATCTTCTGGACATGATATCCATAATCCGTTTCCATACCAAAATTTACAATAGATAAAACAGTTTATTGACTGGAAATAAAACTACCTAAATTCAGAGGATTTTCTTTTCTACCAATAATAATAAACTTTGCCCTATTCCATAAACAAATTATAGTAAATATTCAGGAAAAATTGTTTCCGAAATGCCTTACATAAATGTATGCCACAGAGGTAAAGGACACCATATCTATTTTTTCATTAAATAATTTAGTAACTAAGAAACAAATTTTAATAGCTCAAAATTATGGAAAATTGGATTCTCTAAACAAATACAAAAATTTGGCATGGTATATTTTACCTCTGAGGTACAGACATAGAAAAAATAACAGATTATCTGTTCTGACCCGTTTAGAATTTAAAAAAACATAATAAAATTAATATGTATAATAAATTAGAATATATATATTCCATTCCTAATGTTTGAACATCATTTCACAGCGTGAGTTCAGAAAGGTTCAAGTTTACCTTTAAGTTGTTTCTCATTAAACATGACTATAATATCTTTTACATAAATATTTTTTTAGATATTGGATTATTTTTTAAAATAAATATATAAATAAAAAAACTTACCAATAAGATTCTGTAGTTCATCCCGAGCTTCTTGAGTACTCGGTCGGACTCTTAGAACTTGGTAGTTTTTGTAGGACACTCTCTCGCTTCTGTCTGTTGACCGTCTCTTTGCTGAAAGAAGAGAATCCTTCAATTAATATTATTGAATATAATATTTGCAATATTATAATACCATAATATTATATATATTAATGGGTTTTAATATTAGGATTCAGATTATAATATTTTTATTATTATTAAGATTAAACATAATTGTAGGGAAAAAAAGGATATTTGGTTTAGTTATTTCCAATAGATGCTCTTGAAAGCAATGGCATCTTTGTTGTAATGAAGGAGAAGTAAGTAGTGGAGAATTTGAGTGGTTATACGGGTTTTTTAAAGAAATAAATATCAATTTTTGTTGTTTCTTTTGTATATGACTCATTTGCTACAATAACATCATAGCTCAAAAATAATGTTTTTTTCAGTCCATATTACAAAGTTAAATAAACAAGAACTGACCAGATGATAAAAACAACTGTCACATTTTTTGGACTACAGATCTCCACCCAAATTACAAGACAAGTGACTAATCTACACCACCATAATAAGACCAATTTGGACATATGGAGCAGAACTTAGGGGTTCCGAAAAACACACACGTGTACAAGATACTTTTTAAAATCACCAATGCTCCTTGGTTTATTTCAAATGGCATCATACACAAAGACATGAACACACCAAAAATAAATTTCTACGTACACAAGTACAAAGCATTTTATTATTCTACTCTCAATCATTCAAATCCACTCGTCCTGTCTCTTTTTTCCTTCCTGTTACCTGGTAATAGTCAATGATGACTACAAAGGCAGTGGCCTAGAGACTTTTTCTAAGAGACTTTTTCTAAGAGACTTTTTTTGACAGTGTTGACATTGTAAACACGGATCAAGAATAAAAGAAGACAGAATAAATGGCAACGCATTTGCTTGATGCGTTACAAAGCAGTGGTACATTTAATATAAAATAAATAAATAAGCCTCACACTGCTTAGCGGTAGGCAAGGATGGATTAAGTAAGTAATAAATAAAAAAAAAAATACCACAAAGAGAAATATAATGGTGTGAAGTTACAGTTTTTAAAACTTTGATCTGAAAAATTGTGAATTAGTTTATTTCAGTCACTGTGGATTAATTCATCTGTAATTTGAACATGAAGTTTCATACAAAGAAATTCAGGTATGAGGGAACAGAAAACTATACCTATTAAAATATAGTTTTACAACTTAGTAACAGTTGCATTTAATTTGATTAAAAAATCAGTTCTGGTGAGCCATTACTGTTCCAAACTACTACTACTACTACTACTACTACTACTAATATTATTATTATTATGTTATAATAATGTCACTGTTAGATCTATGAGGGGAGATTTTCGGGCTGAAGGTCCCCAAAATAGAAAAATGATTTTTTTTGCACCTGTCCATATTTTTATAGTGAATGATCTAAGTTAAATATGTAAACAATATAATATATTCTATTTTTAAAACTATGTTGCTTGTACAGTTACTAAATATAACCTTGTCTTATGAAAAATATATCAAAATACTATAAAAGTACTATTGTTCATGTAACTAAATATATATATATTTTTTTTTTATAGGTCTTCAAGAATCACTTAATTTGAAACTTTTAAGGTGAGTGTTAAAACAAATAATCCAAGTTATACTGTAAAACAATAACACTTTCTGGCTGTAGCCCCCGAAAGGAAAAATGATTGTTTTTCATTGGTCCATATTTTTTACTGTGAGTGATCTAAGGTAAATAAATACTTAAATAAAGTTCTATTTTTAAATTATAATGTCTTTAAAATGTCTGACTATAACCATGTCTTATGAAAAAAATATCAAAGTATTATTGTTCCTGTAATTATATATTTTTTTTATGGGGCTTCAAGAATCATTTAAACATTATTTCATATTTTAAAGTTTCTTTCTTTTTTTTTCAAAGTAATTATCATTATGTGTATATAAAGTAAAGATTTCAGGCTGAAGCCTTCTAAAATTAAATCTTGGATTCGCTAGTGATGAGTAGCAATCCATAGGGATGGAACTTTTCACTACCTTCCTACCATTCAGAGATGGACATATTTATATTCAAAAATATAAATAACAAATAGAATTTATATTTATGGTACTTATGAATATATTTATATTCGAAAAAAGAAATATGAATACAGATGATTCTATTCACAGCTGTTAACATAAATACTGCCTTTAAAATGAATACGCTTAAATTTACAGAAGTGAATGGAAATGTTTTCACATAACCTTATGAATGAATACTCTTATTTAAAATAAATATTAATTTCCAGTCAAGTAAAATTTCACTCTGCTAGGATGTATAAACAAAAAAAAAAGTATACAAAAATTAAAAGAAAGTTCTGGACAGTAAGGGATTTATTGAATTGAACCAATCTCTTCAAAAATATTGGAATAATGTTAATAAGTTGGTGTTTGCTAACTTGAACCTTTGACTGCCTTGCCCCTTCCCTTGCTTCACCCTAAGGCTGTCGTGTACCCGTATTCCAAGGTATTGTTCTGGCTGTTGTACCTACTCTGACCGTCCATTAAGCTTATCTTTATTGCCATTAACAACCCATAAGTAAACAGTGCACAGAAAGGTCTCTAGGTCTAGAACCATAAATGCAGACTTTCCATTCTGGTTGGGGAGAGGAGAGGACGATGGATCCACCAAAAATAAGTCTCGGGAATTTATATTACGTATAAAAATTACGAGTGATAATTAACTATTAGTACCATTTAAAGAGAAATGATTTGTAAATTTTTCAATAATATTTATAAATGTTTTGTATTTTTAAAGTTAAAACAGAAGGTGAAAATTATCCTAAAGATTTATATTCTAATTATAAATTAGGTTTGTGTAAGTAAAAATTATAATAATACAAGATAACAATGCTAAGGGCCGATTTGGAACAGTGAAGATGTTCAAAAAGAAATTAAAACTCACAAATATTTTTTATACTTAGTATAATGACTTTGCACATAATTTTTCTTTCATTGGTTAATACTCAGTTATTCATTTCAGCTATAATTAATAACATTCCATTCTAAGCTAAATTGATAATAAGTTATTATATTAAATGTCATGAAAATAATTTGTCAACCGATTGAAAATATATGGTTCTAATTATTTTTGTTTTGAATAGCTCCTTTTATTTAATTACATAATGTACATATTTCCATCGTGTTTTGCAATAATTTTGAAATCAGCCTATTTTTTTCGTAGTTAAAATATATTTTAAAAAGCTTTGTTTATAAATCAGAAATTTAGAATTAATTGAAAAGTAAATAAATTGTGCCTAATGCTGTATAAAATTAAAGGTATGTCTTATAGCAATTAAATTATACAAGTTATACATAATCACCATGAGAAAAGAAGAAGAATATTTTAGTTCAAGATCAGAGGTTTTCTGTCTCTGACTAAAAAATATTAAAATAAACATTGTTATGTAATTAGAGAAAAGAAAGTTCATATTACAACTAAACATCTGTCTTTCTTTCTCATTTATGTATAACTGCTATGCTCCAATAATATCATTATTAATTAATAAGACATTTGGTATTCATAGAATTCCTCTATGCTAGAGAAAAAAAGTTTTCTATAAAGATTATTTACATATTTATAGCCAGAACTTGCTTCTTTTTTTTTTCTTACTAATTACCAAGACCCAGATTTTTATGCAATTGCATATTTTGTTTGCATGCACTTTTTAAGCTGCTGATTAAATATCTACAAGTGTATCTTGATCATTTAACAATTAGTCATATTTTATGTTGCATATTTGATGATAAATGAATATAACTGCTTTATACTTTGCTGATGAATCTGCAATTCTATCTTCCCACGAAAATCCTACTATCGCATCAATTGCCCTTCAAAACCCCCTCTATGATCTTCAAAATTGATTTGTAAAATGGAAAATTAAAATGAATAGTAACAAATCTACCCACATAACTTACTCTCTTAGAAAAGCCTCATGTAACGATTGACAATATCCCAGTGCCTTCAAAAAACTAAGTATGGTACCTCGGACTCTACTTAGACAAAGGACTTATCTGGAACATACATACTAAATTAAAAAGACAAGAACTGACTTTACGAAATAACCAACTCTCACATCTTCTAGACTACAGATTCTCACTTAACTTACGAAACAAGCTACTAATCTACAACACCATACTGAGACCAATTTGGACATACAGAGCAGAACTTTGGGGTTCGGCAAAAAAAACACACATAAGTAAAATACAAACAACACAATAAAAAATTCTACAGAAAATTGTCAACCCACCTTGGTTGGTACATTTCAAACAACTCTTAACATAACAACTTGAACATCCCAACAGTAAAATCCTACATCCATGGCAAATACACTTCATTTCACTCTTTGATTCTAACTCACGTCAATCCATTAGTCTTTTCTACTTTCTGCTCCCTGTTACCTGATTGACAATGATTAAAAAGAAATTGGCCGAGGGACCTACTACAATAAATACAAAATGAAGCTAATCAAGAATACTCACAACTGATCAGTAATATATCAAATTTGCTAGGTGCGCTGCAGCACAGGTGCAAATGGTAGAATATGCCAAAAATAAACAAATAAAATAAAATAAATAAATGTTTTGATTATTTTAAATAATAATTAGAAATAATGAATTAAAATGGAACATTGAAGATGAAATTCCATAATACAATTGTTGGATGATTTTCAATCAACAAATAACAACAGAGTAACACTGTCCTCAGTTATTGACTTCTTTGAATATGTAATTTTTCATTTCATGTTTTTTTTTTTTCTCTCCTTCTCGTTCATTTTAACTTCGAAGCGGTTATATTTTTTATAATTTTAAGTGCACCATTTTCTCCAAAATTTGTATACGGAATCAATCCTGATGATTACAAAAATAAAACACTTTTTAAAACCCATTGGAAGGTTCAATTTCACTTTTATTGTTCTAAACAAGTTTCTATTTGAAACAAAAAGTCAATAATTTTAAGTGGATCCAAATTTTATCCTATCTCTTGTAAAAAGATCAGTTTCTTATTATA